GCTGGTGTAAATCAAAAAGGGTTCAACTAAAGTCATGTAGCTTAAAATATAGATGCTATAAACTAAGCAGAATTTTATTCTGACCCATAATATTTTACATTTATGATGTGTAATTTTGACCCTTTGGAGGAGGTTAGGTAAAGGATCTCGTCATTATCATTCTATTTCCTTTTCATTCCTAAATTGAGTATATTAATTTCTTGTGTTTCTTCATTTCTTACTCTTGTCTTGACTTCTGTTAGATTCTGCCTTTCCCAAATATTTTCTCTTGTAAAACTTTCAGAGTCAAAGGGGGGAAAGGAAGAGGAAGAAAGGTTACTTTTCTTTTACGTGTCTTTCCTACCCTCTCTCCAAATCCTCTTCTTCTCCCAAGAAAAGTTTAAAAAGGCCTACAATTAACCTAATGGAACTCCCTGGCAAAGTGAAATAAAGAGATAGTAGAAAAGCAATTAATATTTTGGTATTTTTCAATGAAAATGCCACGAAGTTAAATAAATTTCATGCCTTTTTCTTTTTTGTCAAAAATAACTTGTGAAACTGGAAAAATTCTACAAAACATTGGTTACTTTAAGGCCAATCAATTTTCTCATTAACTTTATAAACAAGTATAATTAAAAGAAACACCAAAGCATTCGTAAAACAGAAATATGTGTTTGTGACATTTAAAGCTCCAACATTCATTCAGGGTATGAGTACCTCATTTAGAAATAAAGACAATCATTACTGTGTGGTGTGTCTTCTCTTCATGGGTGCAATTAAGACAAAATAAAAGCCTGCTTTTCTTACAGAAAGCATGCTAATTTAGCCCAAAAGAGATACAAATGCAAATTTCTCTATTGTAATAAATATGGGTTTTATGGTTAAAGGAGAACTGACTGCTTGTGGCCCACTGATGTAGTTCTCAGTGTTTGCACTGGAGGTCTCACTAGCGTTTAATGAGCATGGCCCTCTTGACTGTCAGGCTTCCATGCATGGGTTGTAACCAGCATAGCCTCTCCTTCTGCCTGCTCAAGATCTTCTGGAAGAATTACCAGTTAATGGTGAACATGGAGGTCTTCGAACAACCTGCTTCCTGAGTTTGGGCATAAGTCCAGCCTCTGGAGCATCCCAGGAAGATTTGTTATTATGTGTGCAGTGATAAGGAGCAGGCTCAGCCTCTACAATATGGTACTTGATGAGAGATTCCTTGTGACCATTCCCTGTGTCATGCAGCATTTGCCATTGATTGTGGTTTTTTGGAGTAATGCTGCTTCCATTATTCTTTATGGTTAGCTCCAAAAACTCCTTTTGGGTGCAAAAAATAGTGTGGCTCTGAAAAGTTTGACTAACCACACACAAAGTATGTGGGTCTTAGCTTCTCCAGAACAGGCATCCAAACTTGGTGGAGACTGTCTTCCTGCATGATCTGTAGTGTGACAGATTTTGCTTAGTGCACTCCATGCTCTTGACCACTTCTTTTTGTAGCTGGTTCCTCTGGTAGATCCCCCATAGCACTTAAATGTTTTAGAAGTTCTTGGTGCCTCTCAAAATCTATCTGGTAATGTCATAGTCATAAATCTGAAAAGCAGAGATGCTTCTTGGTATTTTTTTCTCCATAATTTCTTATTTGAGTAGATATTGTGAAATAAGTCTGTTTCCTTGAAGGACATCAGAGTTGCAGCAATGAAGAGCATAGGAAATCTATTCCACCTTAGTGTGAAAGTCTGTATTTGACCAGTTTGAAGTAGACACAACATGGGTTGAATGTTAGTTAAAAGTGGGGGAAAAAACCCAAAACAAAATTCCCATCACCAAACTACTAAGTAGCTTGTTTCTCTACAAGTATACTTATGTATCATGCTTTTGTTAAGGAGGGGCTGGGGAAGGTAGAGAGGAAGCTCCTCCCCAGTACATATTTAGTGTCCTGCCCATTTACTTCTGATTTTTGTGGTCTTGAGCAGCATGTTGGTCTGGCAGCAACTGCCCTGCAGTGAAGAGGGTTTTTGCTTCCTCTGGAGGGAAATGTCTGTCATGCTAATAAAGAAAAACCTGTTTCCATTTCCTCAGAGATGCTGCAAACTATCTTCCCTTCAGAGCACTGAGTTACAAGATAGGTCTTGTCCTGTTGGAAAGATACCCATTTTCATTCCCACTAAATTTAAATTAGTGCCTGGTAACTTAGTTGAATGCAACTGACTGATGAACTTCATACTTAGAAGAATCTGGACTGATTGAAAAAATGAGTGTGGGGCACTTGTTCTTAAATATCTGAAAAGCTTTGATCATTCCTCCCAAGTTTTCTTCAACTTTCTAGAACTTATGAATATACAGGGACTTTGTTATTTGCATCTAGGTACTTGTAATGTGGCTTGTATTTTTCATTTATTAATTTAAGTAATAACTTTAATAAGATATTAACAGATATATATTTAATTAATTTAGACAGAATTTACTTACTGTCTGATCCCATAGGTGCTGTGTGCCTCTTTTAATACCACAGATGTCCATTTATTTCAAGAAGAGCTGAATGATATTCGCATGAGGTCATCACATTGCATATTTGTTGTCATGAGTTCTTTGTATGTCTCACTGATTTTTTTGTTCACTTTGTAATCTTCTGTTACTCCAAGAAATTCTGGTGAAGAATACTCCACCACCGACTTAAAAAGTTGTGTTCCTTCCTGGGTAAAAGAAACACGGGTGAGATGATATCAAAAAAATTATAATTTGAGGGAGGTTGCTATTTCTGTCACCAAAGTTAACAAACTTGTCAGTCAATAGACTCAGAGCCCAAGTTAGACATGCTACAAATTCTGAATTTTATAAAGCATATATATGGTGGCATATATAGAGAACACTAGGAAGAGAGATGTGAACTGTACCTTCAGTGATCTCTGCAGTGTATTTATCCCCAGCAAGAAAACAAAATGTGACTAGGGCAGTCCACGGTAACAGAAAGAGGAAATTCAGGATTGACTTGTTGTTAGAAACCAGGGAGTTGTTATTGGTTCGTGTTTCTCCACCTCAGCTTGATCCTACGTGACTGGGTGGGTTCATGTCAGCCCTCCTGGAGGTGCATAATGCTGCCTATGCACGTGTCTATATACACCACGTATGGATGTTTGAGCAGTGTTTCTTTGTGACTGTGATTTAACCAATTTTTTGTGTGAGGGTGGTGTTTATATGGCTCTCTGCCGACTTTCCATGAAATTACCTGTTAGAGCTTTTCCTCATAGCTGTTTGATTTAGGGTTTGGGAGGGCTGAAACACCATGAGGGCTGGGTGTCAAAAGCCAAGTAAAAAAATGATCAAAAAAGACTTGCTTATGTCACTTTTCTGTGAAATTGCAAACTTCTTTCTGATCTTTTAGTAACATTTCCTTACAAATATCTTCAGGAATTATTGAGGGTTAAGTCAGAAAGGTAATTTTAATTTATTTAAGGCTGCACAAAGAAAAAAAAGGAAATGTTGTGAAGAAGGAAAAAACTTACCCAAGGTGGTGTGCTTTCTGAAGCATTCCCTGCAGAGAGCTCCTAAGCCCCCAGAAGGGCTTCTACTCACTGCAAGGGAGCAGCAACACTGGAGGCTGAAACAATGCCCGACTCCTTCCTGGTTTTTCTTGCCTAAGCAACTGCCTTTTGCACAGCAGTTAATAAGGAGTAAATGAAATTTCAGATGCACATTTCTTCTTCCATCCCTTCTGCTGTGTGAAACTGCAGAGTAACTGGAAAGGACTGATAGATTAGAGGGGGACCCTTCAGAGGAGGGGAAAAATCTGAAAATTCTCCATGTTGTTCCCAGACAAGGTAATGTTAGTACACGAACATGTAGGATAGCAAGAACGTTGCTTCCCTCACCATTTTTTGTTCTCTCCACACCCCTTTCACATGTCCAGGGGAAAGACGAGGGCTTGTAGCTGCTCCACTGTAGTAACCAAGTGCCTCACGGTGATGTTCTCTGCACTAGATCTTTTGCAGGTAACAGGGAAAAGTTAGGATCTGGGTTTCCCACAGTTCTGCTAATTTTATGCTCTGTGTCGCTGTTTACCTTCCTTTTCTGAAATACACCGTTTTGGTGCTGTAGCAAGGAGATGCCCTGAACCATGTGGGTGTACTTCTTAGCACCTGGAAGTTTTACAGCAATCGGATGTGCGCTCATGCCAAGGAAATGGAGAAGATGAATACAGTGTAAGTGTCTCGGATTGATGGTGGCACTGTGGCACTGGGAAAGGTCAGGTGTGGGAGCAGTGCAGCGCAGCATTCATGGCTGGGCATGCCCTTTACATGGGCAGCAGACTCTGCTGGGTCAGGCACCAGAGTTGGGGGGGATTTGCCTGCCAGCCCCATGCCTTCACACCTCTGCGGGAAAAACGGGCTTTGCACTTCCCAGCGTGTCGGGGAGTTGGAGCATCTCGACAAACGTGTCAGTCTGGCAGCCCGACGCCGGGGAGGGAACCCGTGGGGACTGGCACGGCTGGGCTGAGCCCTCGCCCTGGAGCTGGGCACCGCAGCGGAGCGGAGCGAGCTGCGGCCGGGAGAGAGACCTCCGCCTCGGGGGGACCCCACCGGGGAGAGGGGGAGCCTGCCAGGCTGCGGGGAGAAGGGAGCACGGAGGAGACGAAAGTCGCTGTGCGGCGTGACCCTCCTCGGGGCTGGGGAGGGGCACTCGCTGCTGGCGGCTGTAATAATAATAAGGGGACCAAGGAGAGACTGCGGAGACCACCGAGTGCGAGGGGGAGCAGCGCAGGAAGCCCAACGGGGGGTCTGCCTCTAGGACCGGGTCCCGCCGCGAGTGGGGGCCAGTCTCGGGGCTTCCCCACGCCGTCGGATGCTCAGAACCCCTCACGTCGCACCGACAGGGTTGGAGGAGGAGGAGGAGACCGGGTGCTTTCACTCCTGCTGACTGCAGAGGCTGAGGCAAAAGAAAAAGGAGGAGGGGAATAAAAAGTAAAGAGGGGGGAGAGAGTGAAAGAAAACTAAGCCCAGCTTTTGCCGGTGCTGCTTGGATTGGATCTGTTTTGAGTTTCCTCTCTGCTGGCTTGTGCAGCAAGAAAGGAGGAGTGGGGGGAAGTAACTCCTCAGTCTTCCTCTGAAGCTTAAGCAAATGTGCTGCTGCCTGCGCTGGCGGGGAGCTGCCCTGGGTGCAGTTGCCTCGCAGCCTATTGCTCTCAATTACTAAAGAATTGCCTGGACTTCTCGAGGACCTGGAGGAAAAAGACATCACTTCACAGACCTGATAGTTGCTCAGTGCCTGTAGACTTGACACATTTTGTTTTTTTCCTAGGGGATCCTTTTTTAAAATTATTTTTCTCCTCTGTTTTTTAGAACAGCATTTACTTGAGTGTGTGGCATTGAAATCCATTGCTTTGTTAACAACTTTGGGAGATATTTTTAAAAACTTTTTCCCCCCTCTTCTGTTTTCTTTGCAAAAAAAAAAAAAAAAAGGCAAAAAAAGAAAGGATAATCATTTTGGGGGAGGGGAGATGATCGTGCTGATGTGGAATAAGTGCTCCTGCTGTCTCCTCTTACTAGCCGCGGTCCTGATCGTGGAGAGCTCCCAGCTAGACAGCTCCAGCTCCAAGGTGAACTCCATCAAGTCCACCCTGATGGGGGAGGCTCCAACTCAGGCAACCAACAGATCTGCAGGCATCCACCAGGGACTGATGCTTGCTAGCAGTAAGAAGGGCAAAATGCTAGAACAGATGGGAAAACCTCCCAAGCACTATCACCGGCAAGGAGAGGTAGGACATCGCTTCATTGCTCAAGTGTCTGTCCATCTGTGTGCTATATGCGAATAATTGCTGGTCTTCCCCTCACATTTTTTTCAGAGCTTTAAAGTGTTAAATCAATTAATTTACTTCATCAGGGTTGTCTGGGACGATATCATCTCATAATTGGTGTTAAGAACTGTGGGACCATATCATCTCATAGTTGGTGTTAGGAACTCTGCAAGTGGGAGGTGGGAGGTTTTAAACCATTCGTCTTTCTCTGCAGGGTTAATAACTGATGGAAGAAAGAGCAATCTAAAAAATTATTATCTTCAGCATTTCTTTGTTTGACTCCTTCAAAGGGCTGCTAGAAGTAAAAAAAGAAATTTCTTGTTAACTCTCAGACAGTAAATGAGTTGAATTTGAATAGGTGAGGAAAATTTGAGCATGAAGTAAAAAACTGTTCACAGCAGCGAAACAAACTTGGTTTTAAAAATCACACCCAGCAAATTGATCTGGTAAAAAAAGCATGATGCGCCAGTGGTATAGTTTAAGGTACAGTTATTTGCTTAATATGACGGGAAACAAATTCTAGGTTTTTTTCCAGAATATTCTCTATTGTTTGCGGGAATTTTCTTTTGTTATGAGAGTTTGAATGTAAAGAAGAGAGAAAAGATTAGAGAAACTTTATGGAAAAAAAAAAAGACCCTGACTTGCTTGTGCAGTCTTCTTTTGTCTCTACCCTGCCTGCAAACTTGGAAGTCTGATAAAAAATAGTCTTCATTCAGCTATCTTTGTGGTAAACTATAAGGCAGCATTTTAAGCTATCAGTCCTCTTCTTTCCTCTCAAATCTTGACTTGGATGATATGCATGCTGTACATTGTGATGGTTGAAGGAGGTAGACTTCTTCAGAAAATACAGATTTTATACTATTGGGTATTATTAGGATCTCTAAATACAGCTGCTTTTCATAAGCAACAGTGTAGCAGCAAGGGAGCTGCCAACATTCAGCACTAAAAAGGCAAAATACTCAATGCCTGAAGGGTCTGTATCTTGCTTACATTTTCCTTAAAGCAGAAGAGAAACTGAAAATTCAAGTAATTCACTGAATTTGCTGAAGTGTTTCACATCAGTTTCCTGATAATTGAATGTTATCATTTGGTTTTATGTGCAGGCATAATAACAGTAGTGATAGTTTTGGTTTTTGTGTGTGAGAAATTTGCTTTTAAAATCCTCCAAGCTTTCTTTCCCTAGCCACTCAATTGTTTTATAATTTACCCAGAATTTGGTTGCCTCTCCTTACCTCTCAGCAAAGTTTAGTAACAGATGCTGTAATGAAGTTTCATATTACTAAAGAACTGTGCTCTTTTCTACTTCGCATTGTAACAATTGCTATGTTGAATCACCTTCAGGAAATAGAGGAGCCCAATACACCTTCTTGTATGTTCTCCTTGGATTTTCTTTCGTTTTCTATGTATTCACAAAACGTCAATGTACAAGTCCTAGTTTTCCACTGAGTGCTATCAGTCTCATGAGTTTTGTGAGGCTGTGCTGTACAGCCTTTTGCCTTTTCGGGAGGTCTTGCCACCCTCCCCTATGTACATCATCCTCAGCACTTCAAGGTGTATTCAGTGCAATGTAATCAGTAATCGATTATAATTCACCCAGTTCCTGAAAAACAAGTTGTACTGCCCACCAGTGGCATTTGCAAGATTTGCCCCTAACTGGCCAACCTGGACTGGGATTTGCTGGGGACTTCTGGTTACTGGCTAGAACTCACAAGGCACACTTCAAGTGAGAGACAGCACTGTAAGTATCTGTAGCGGTAGAAGAGATGTCATGCATGTTAACATGTCGTGTTTGTAGCACAACCAAAGACCCCCAGAGAACTGGTGGCTTTGACTCCCAGGGAGTGAGAACTGACCTCCCATCAAGGGCTGTCAGCACTCATTTCACCCTCTCTCTCTGAGACTCCATGCCCGGATCCTGCATGGCCTCACACAGATGTATGTGAAAATGACACAGATTTGATCCCAATAATTGTAGATGCTACTTTCGGCCATCCATCTGAAGCAGTTAAAACAGAATTGCAATAAAAAGAAGAAAAGACAAGTAAAGACAAGAAAACAAAGAGAAAGAGAAAAGAAGAGAAAAGGAAAAAAAAGAAAAGAAAAAAGAAAAGCAAAAAGAAAAGAAAAGAAAAAAAGAAAAGAAAAAAAGGAAAAGAGAAGAAAAGAAAAGAGAACAAAAGAGAAGAGAAGAGAAAAGAAAAGAGAAAATAATATCTTTTGTGATAATGTTTTCTCTTTGGTGATACTTCCAGTTGCAGGGTTGGTAAGCCCCTGCATTTTTTAACAGCGGTGTCATGTATATCAACCAATTGAGACATGACATTTTCATAATCTTTTTTAAAGTACTCTCTTATTAAGTTAGTGCTTGATTTGTTTAGATTATGGGACTTTGCACTGAAGTTTACTATGCCACTTGCAAAAGAACAGGCATATGCTTTTCTTTCTAAAATGATCTGTTGAATTAGTGAAATTTATAATTTCTCAAAAGTAAGAGTATCCTTTATAACTTGGCAACACTAAGTGGTGAGTTGAGTGTCTTGCTTACAAACTAGGAAATAGTTTTAGTAAGGACCAAGGATATACAAGTTAAAGGAAAATTAATAAAATTTTGCTGTTTTGACAGCTCCGATCTGTGCTTTCAAATCTGCACTTACACGTACTGAAAATCAGAGTGCTCTCACCAAAACTGATAAAAGGACCATCAGCCCGTAACCTATTTGCTTTTCAGTTACGTTAATTCTCAGGACTGGGACTAAGTTGGGAGTTTTAATCAGCAATAAATCAACGGATACAATAGTTCATGGCTTATCTACAGTGCTGATGTATTTCAGCTGGTAGTTACAGTGCTTCTGCCCAGAAAGGGAAGATCCAGCACTCCTTTGTCGGGCAAAGCTCCAGTTCAAATTCATGAAAATACATGAGCAAAGCAAGCTGATCCGGCTTGCAGAGAGACTAGCAGGGCAAATGTGGATTTTAGTAAGACACTTTTATGTCTTTCTAAGGAATATTATTTATTTTCTATTCTTATTCCCTTTACTGCCTTGGATCAGCAGTGAATGAGAAGCACTGATGTGCTAAATCGGTGAGATTTCGCTCTCTTCACTGTTCTTCACTGTCTCTCCTGTTTTCCCCTTTCTGCAAACTGTTAATGTTTTCCCATTTCACAGAGAATCAGAAAGTATCTACAGCATTTGCACAAGGGAAAAATATGCTCAGAAATAGACTAACAGTGCATGTTAGTCTAGGTTACTTTGGGGGGGGGGTCAGTATTTTATACTGTCTGTCATGAATTTCCTTTCAAAACTTGATTTAGAGAAATGGCTTCTAGGGACATCTAACACAGTAGTGTAGCCTCTCTGGGAAATTGTTCTGGATATATCATCTCTCTAGATAATTATGATACAGTGAATAGGTTCATAATTGGCAATGAAGTTGAATTAATTTTTCTGCGTGTTAGCTGTAGCTTCCACTGTGTTTGGGTAACCTCTCCCATGTGAGTGCTCTAGCTCAACAACAGAGATGTAACTTGAAAGGAAAAATCCCACATATTGTAGCTGTGACTGAAAAGAATAGCCATTCCATAGATTCCTAGTTAATGGCTCTGTAGCCTCTTTAACTCACTTCACCATCTTTTTGACTTCTTGCTTCTGGATTATAGTCCCCTCTCTCCTCTGAGGCTTGTTCCCTCTGTCAGTGCTGGGGTTTGGACTCCTTCACACTCACCTGCCTTTAATGATCTAGTAGGCTGTGACCTACCAAACTTTATTTTTAACTGATCTCCTTCTTCAATCCATGGGTGCTATTATCTTTTGCCCTTTCCATGTCCTGGCCACAAGCCATTGCTTCAGCTCTTTCCTCAGCAAGATGTGTCTCTTATTCCCTTTGCTGCTGCATAGCTGTTTGGGTTTGTGCTTTTCATTGGAACTGTCCCTCCCCCTGTGCACATGATGGGAGCAGCAGCAATAAAGGGAAGAACTGGGACAGCCAGGAGAAGGGACCCGCACAACTGTGGGGCTGACTAAGAGATAATGTGGTCTGGAAAGGGGAGAGAGGAGTGAAAAGCTGGGTCAAGTTTTAACATGGTAGAGGTGCAATAGATGGCTATCAGATAAGCCTTAGTATTCCAAATACACTTGGTTTAATGTTAAAAATGTGTTTATTCTTTTTAAACTCCATTGCAGCTTGAGCTAAGAGGTTTGAGACCAGAGAAGCCAAACCAAAGAAGCATTAATTCAAATCACTAATTAGATACTGATCTCATACCTATTAACGCATGGACATACGTGTGTTTCTTAGACAGGATGTAGTTACCCAGAAAGACTTGCTAGAAAATGTTTGGATGATGCTTTTAGCAAGTAAAACAGCATGAGATGTAGTAATTGAATGCAGTGCCCTGACAATGTTACAATAAAATGTACCAAAGACACAAAAAATGTAACCACAATATCTTAAATAACTAGTAACCAAGACAGTATAAATTATTTCTCCATGGCATTAAAAATAAATTAGTTGCAATACCTAGAAATTACATCCAGCAATAGCTGCCTTTTTTTTTTTTTAATTAAAAAAATAAATACAGAATTGCTAAATCTGCAGAGGTCATCAGAGAATCTATTCTTTGCTCTTGCTGTTTATTGTTAGGAATCTGGGAGACATACTAGTTTAGTGGCAACAGTCTTGCTAAATAACCGAGTGGCTGGTCTCTTAATTGCAAAAATGAAATGCAGAGTATTATTTCCTTCCTGGGTCATGCTTGGTGTTCTCTTCAAAGTGTTATTATTAATTGACTTAATATAGAGCAAAGGCTCCCTTTAAAGTAGCTTTACTACAACTATTTCCTATTAACTTTGCAACAATGTTTAGAAATTTTCTACAACTCTCTTGTGCTGCTGGGTGTGCAAGTACTTAGGAAGAGTTAGTTTCTGTCTGGAAAGTCTGTCAGAGTTTAAGAGTGACACAAA